TTCATTCACCTGAGGGACATTAGCAGAATTCTCAGCAAGTTAACAACAAAAACACAACACATCCCCGAGGTGTGCATCAGTGTGGTGTACCCCCAAAGCAGAACTTTCTAGATCCCATGGGTAAGTTTCTTCTTCTGGCCTTTGGTGCCATCACCCACTCATCTCTTCTAGTGGACAACTAGGAAGTGGTGGGTTCTTTCTGTCTCCACCAATAGACCTTGAATCATATTTCTCGGGCTCACATTTGAGTCGGTTACTCCCCTGGCTTAAAAATCTAAGAACCTAGAATGTAAAAAATAAATTAATAAAAAAAATAAACGTATAAAAAAATCTTGGAACCGTGGTGGCTAGAGAAATGGCTCGGTGGTTAAGAGCACTGGCTGCTCTTCCAGAGATCCTGAGTTTAGTTCTCAGCACCCACGTGGTGGCTCACAAACATCTGTAATCTGTAATGAGATCTAGTGCCCTCTTCTGGCCTGCAGGTATATAGAACACTGTATACATAATAAATCTTTTTAAAAAATTCTTGGAACATGGGATTGTAGGGATGGCTCAGTGTTTAAGGACACTGCTCATGCAGAGGACCCAGATTTTATTCCTAGCACCCACATGGTGGTTCACAACCATCTGTAATTGCAACTCTGATTCCTCTATGCACCACATACGTACTGAGAACACCAGTATGTATGTGGTGCATAGACATACGTGCAGGCAAAACACATGTACATTTAAAACAAAATCAAAACAAAAAGAAGCAGCCAGGAGTAGTGGTGCATGCCTTTAATCCTAGTGCTCAGGAGGCAGAGGCAGGCAAATCTCTGAGTTCAAGATCAGCCTGGTTTACCAAGCTAGTTCCAGGTCAACCAGGGCTACACAGAAAAACCCTGTCTCAAAAATCAAAACCAACCAAACAAAATCTTGGTGGCCAGACATGGTGGTGGACTCCTTTTTTCTAATCTCTCAGGAGTTTGTGAGTTTGAGGCCAGCATAGTCTACACAGCCCATTTCAGGACAGGAGGGCTTACATAGAGAGAGCCTGTCTCAAAAAAACTAAATCTTGGAATATGTGCAGAAACCCAGGGGTGTTGGCACGGGCTGCACAGACCTCTATGACTTCGATTCTGCTTCCCGTGCACACCCATGTGTGATGAACAAGGTCACACTCTCTTAGGTCTTCCTCCCCTGTCTCTAGTCAACATTCCCTGGCACCCCAGGCATCTCTTCCTCTCTGCTCATTGGAACAGCTTGCAAGCCCCTGGGCCAGCTGTCTAGACACCTGCTGCTCAGAAAGCAGTTTCTTTGCTACAGGAATTCTCACTGACCTCAGCCAGAAGAGTCAGACTCGAGCTGATATTTCCTAGCATAAACTGTATGTCTCTCTTCCCTTTCCAGCCTATGCTCTTCTCTTCTATATTAGGAAAAGTCTGAGACACGAGGATTTCCCACATCTAGAACTGCCTTTATTAGAACCCATTTTGTTTCTATGAGAATATGCCTTGGAGGCTGGTCCCAGGTGGGTGGAGCCTTGATTGGCTTATTTGTCTGGCATTCATTGTGCTCTTGTGATGAACCAGGTCCTTGGGATGAGGAAGGACAGGGAGATTGACCTCCAGGGTCTCCCAGTGTCTGTCACTCCAGTCAGGTTCCTTGGGGTCCAGGTGGAAAATCCTCAGAGGTTCTGCTTCCGGAGTGAGTTCTTTCTCACAGATGTATTAATCCATGTGTGTTATGCATCTGCTATGACCTAGGGACGGGACGTTTTGCAACAATCCTCTTTCCCCCCAGAGCACACATTTCAGGGTGGTGAGGGAGACAGAAAAGCAAATGAGCAAAGGGCATAACAAATCTAGAAGTGGCATCCAAGGCTGGCAGCGAGGGCGGGGGCTTCTCTGAGAAGGCAAATGACCTTGGGTGTGTAAATCCACATCTGTGCAGGGTTTGTTTTTTTTTTTTTTCTATAAATGTTTCGCCGCGGTGTGCACGGGGGAGAAAAGGCCCGGATCGCAGAAATGATTCCAGTTTGAGCTGCCTCTGATGGACACTTGAAAACCGGCTGGGAGCCGGGAAGCAGGCGTTGGGGGCCTAGAGGCTCTCGGGGCTCTGTTGCAGGGCTGTCAGGCTAATCCGGCTGCCTGCTCCCACCCTGCCCCTCCCTAGGGGGCGTTTGCTCCGCGGACAACAGTTCAGCTGAAGCGAAGTCTGCCTGACGCTTTGAGCAGAAAAGCAGAGCGGCCGCAAGAGAGACAGCGAGAGGGACTGGGGAACACGGGCTGCAGCAGAGGCAGTGGGCAACGCCCGGGGCGCGGGCATAGCAACCCACGCTTCTCTGGGGCCTCAGAACTTTCTATTCAGTGATTGGTGGGGCAGCGGTGGCCTGGGAGCACCTAGCAGGGAGCCCCTGGCCATAGTGGCATTTGGAGCTGGCGGGTCGCGAGTGCCTTCTCTCCGGGACGCGTGAAAACACCACGGGATAAGACGGTCCCTGAGCCAGGGCTCTCCCGCTCCGAGTTGCACAGCCAACCGTTTGAACATTTCACCACAAACCCCGGTCCACTGTGGGGCCGCACATTAAAAAGTGTTATTCGCTTTGAAGGTTTTGTCTAATAGTTCTAAACTGAAAGAAAATGTTTTCCTATTACTTAATTCAATCATAGCGAAGAGACTTGGTAAAAAGCCCACGGATTTTGTCCCAAAGTGTGACAGAGTTCTCTTTGTGTTTGCTTATCCTCCGCTGTCACACACTTTAATTCGCCTCTCTTTATCTGGCATTCAAAACTTTCTTCAATGACATTCAATAAGGTCCAGGGGCTGGAGGGAGAGGGGGAAACTGGTTATTCCCCCCCACCCCTCCATATTCTTTCCCAGTAGCTTTGGCCTTGCTTGTATTCAAGGACTCTTAACCCCTTCACAGCCTGGAGTGCTGGGCGGCTCCCAGGAGGGCCCCCGCACTGGCATCTCGCTGGCTTGCCAGCTCCAGGGCGCAGCGGCCTCTCCTTCTATCTATCCTCCGGCCACATCCACACCCACTCCTCCGCAGCCGCCTCAGCCCAGCGGGGAGCCCCTCTCCAGTCGCAGCTCTCCGCCACCCAGCCCAGCCCAAATTTCCCAGAGAGCAATTAGAACGGGAATTAGGCTGCATTGATGCGTACCGGCTGGTTTGCAGGCGCTTTGGGGCCGAGACTGTGGCTTGGGGGCACCCCATGCCAAGCACCAGGGGACCATTGAGCCCTCACTCCTGCTAGATGGCGAGATGGCACGCCCTCCATGCAGGTTAGTTCCCCCTATTGCGACTCTCGCATTGTAGAAGCAGTTGCTCTCACAAACACCCTCTCTCCCATAACAAATCATCTTTGATTTTTTTTTAACCAGTTGTTTGTGGCTGCTCATACTGCACGGATGTCATGAACAGTGCAAACCCGTGCAGACACCTCGGGTTTGGGCAGCCTTGCACTGATTGCCCCACCCCCATCCTCGGAAATCTTCCCCCTTCCTGGTCTCACGATTCAGTTCACGACTCAGAGCAGGTGATGGCAGCGATTTGTAAAATCGAAAGTAGTAAATTCGAAATATTTATGCTAATTCCCCATTGTATGGAAAACGCCGCGGGAACGGAAGCAGCTCTGAACCAAGGATGGTGTTTTTTTTTTTAAACTGAAGATGTGTACACAGAGCGGGGCATTTGAAGTTGTTTAATCATTGTGTAAGGCGGGGGGAGCAAGAGCGACAGGACGGGAGGAAGACGCAGAGGGCAGGGGAAGCTGGGAAAGACCGAAGACCGCCTTTTCTTTCTCTCCAGCCGTGGGAAGGCAACCGTTCCGAGGGCACCCACGACTCTAGTGGAGTGTGCGCGGGTGGAGAGTGCGCGCACAACATTTCTGCGACTCTAGATCATCCGCACTCGCCACGTTTGGTGGGGTGGTAGAGCTTCACACGAATGACTCGGCTTTCACTCCCCCATGCTCTGTATCTGTCCACGGTCTCAAAGTCTACCCATCCCGGTATTTGTTCTGTTGTTTTTGTTTCTTTACACCCACGATCCTGCTGTTGAAGGAAAGGGCTGGCTGACCACGGTCCACCGAACAAAGACTAGGGGGTCATAGGCAACACTAAAGTTGAGACCATTTTAAATTTTCAGAGAAAACAGAGGAACAGAGATGAGACTAGTCTTGAGTGAGGAATAGTGAGCCCTTCTCCGTCCTCTGAGAATCATGTTCTCTCTCCAATGCTAGGAAAGAAGGGACTCCACAGGTGGGAATGATGGTCTCTGCTAAGACGCCCGTGGGATGCAGCGTTGAGCTGGGAGAACTAAGAGAAAGCAATATACTTGATGTGTGTATGTGTGTGGGGGGGTGCTCAAGGAAGAGGTAATATAAGGAAAGGGACCAGTATCAACTGGGCAGAGGAGATGAGTCTGTGCACACGGGGATCTGTGGAAGTGAGGCAGCACGGGTGCAAAATCAATGAGATAAATGGGCCGATCGCCAGCGCAAAGCCAAAGGGGAGTAAGAAATAAAGAGAAAGAAAAGAATATTAAATCGCGGGAGAATGAGAAAATAAACCCGAAAGGGGGAGAGGAGGGGGCGAGTGCGCCTGTTACGGCGTGGGTGGGGTTGACAAGAATAGAGTACATTATGCAGTTCATTTAGTTAACAAGTGAAATAATGAGGAAGCGTGCAGAGAGAATGCCAAGAGAAAGGGCACAAAAACCCTATTGAGAGGCCCCGGCCGCTCCTGGCGTAGCCCATCACATGGCAATAGTCCTATTTAAGCGGCGCCGCCGGCGTCTTTCAGCACCACTAGCGCTGGCCAGCACCTCGCGCGCTCCGGGCGGCGCCGGCAACAGCAGCCGAGGTGACTTCAGCTCCGGCTTGAGCCGCGCGTGGAGCCTCCGGGGCCCGGGCAGCTGCGGGAGGCCGCAGCCCGGGGAAGCGAGTGCGGGACCCGCAGTTCCCTCGGGTGCCAGGGGCGGGCTGGCGGCGGGTGGACCGCGCGCCGGCGCCATGCCACGTTCCTTCCTAGTGGACTCCCTTGTGCTGCGGGAGACCAGCGACAAGAAGGCGCCGGAGGGCAGCCCGCCACCGCTCTTCCCCTATGCGGTCCCCCCGCCGCACGCGCTGCACGGTCTCTCGCCCGGCGCCTGCCACGCGCGCAAGGCCGGCTTGCTGTGCGTGTGTCCCCTCTGTGTCACCGCTTCTCAGCTGCACGGGCCCCCCGGGCCGCCGGCGCTGCCGCTACTCAAGGCGTCCTTCCCTCCCTTCGGATCGCAGTACTGCCACGCGCCCCTGGGCCGCCAGCACTCGGCCGTGTCTCCTGGAGTCGCCCACGGCCCGGCCGCGGCCGCAGCAGCTGCCGCGCTCTACCAGACCTCCTATCCGCTGCCGGACCCCAGGCAGTTCCACTGCATTTCCGTGGGTAAGCAGGGTCCTCGCGCGAACTTGCCTGGGAGATCGGTGATCGCAGGGGAGCAAGTGGGCGAGTTAGGGATCGGGCAAAAGTGCGCTATGAAGGCGTTGAGGATCCTGTCCCGGATGCTCAAGGGGTGCTCACAGCGGCGGGCTGGGAAAGGACGCAGGAACCGGGGTTAAGACTGAAGATACTGGGTCTGGGGCGTCGTGGGGAGGAGGGCAGGGGTGAGGTCAGCTTCAGGGAGTTCCAGAAAGAGATGTTAGGGACGACCTGACAGAGAATAAGGCATTCTGTGACCCGCCTGTGGATCGTGGTGAATGGAAGGGGTGTGTGTGAGAGTCCAAGATTGAAGCCAGCCGCAGCTCAGCGGGAAATTAGACCCACGGCTCAGGCATTTGATGACTTCTCTCTCTGCCCCCGCGTCGCCCCTCCAGACAGCGGCTCGAACCAGCTGCCCAGTAGCAAGAGGATGCGGACGGCGTTCACCAGCACGCAGCTCTTAGAACTGGAGCGGGAGTTCGCCTCCAACATGTACCTGTCCCGCCTGCGGCGCATCGAGATCGCGACCTATCTGAATCTGTCCGAGAAGCAGGTGAAGATCTGGTTTCAGAACCGCCGAGTGAAGCACAAGAAAGAGGGCAAGGGTAACAACCACCGCGGAGGCGGAGGCGGAGCTGGGGTGGGTGCCGGCGGGGGCGCACCGCAAGGCTGCAAGTGCTCTTCGCTCTCCTCGGCCAAGTGCTCGGAGGAGGACGACGAATTGCCCATGTCTCCATCCTCCTCCGGGAAGGATGACAGAGATCTCACAGTCACTCCGTAGGTGCGCCTTTCAGAGGACCACTGGCTCCCCCGGCCCTTCCCACACCTCAAAGACTGATTTCCCAGGCACCTGCTGCCAATCGATGGATTTTGGTAGGGCTTTGCCGTGGTACCAGCTGTAGACAGAGCTGAGACCCTAGCAAAGACCCGAAGACAGTGCCCTGTCCCTTAGGCTCCAGGGTGTCTAGGACTGAACCCAAGTTCACTGGGTCCCCCTCACAGGACACAGCCTTCCCCGGAGGCATGCAAGCCCCAGCCCAGCGCCTTGCTGGCCCTTCGGCACCTCCTCGCCAGCTCATTCTGGGCTGGTTCAAGCTTCCTCGCTCCCGCTACCCTCCTCGCTCAAGCTGGGCCTTTCACTCCGCGAATGGCTGTTTGCTTCCCTTTTAACATTTTTTTCCCTAGCCCTCAACTCTTTCTCCATAGTGGTTGTTTATGCAACACGTTTATGAACTAAACTTTCCCTTTTTCCTTTCCCTTCACCCTCCTCAGGGAGCCCCTTCCTTCAGTCCATTTGTCCCTTGACTAGGGACAGGTCTTGCTGTTCGAAGTCCTCTTAGCAGAGAGGAATGTCTCCCATGATATTGTATTGGGGGAAATGGCTTAGTTTGTTTCCAACATGCTTTACATTCCCTCAAATGAAGACCGATCCCACTCCTCCGCCGCCGTAAGCGACCTCTCCCCGTCCTCCAAGTCCCAAACCCGCTAAGGACTGACTGTGTAATTGTATGGTCTCTGTAATGCCAGAAGATATTTATTTATTTATTTATGTACAAAATTTTAAATAAACTTTTTTTTTCTTAGAAATTCCTCTGCCTTTGGGTCCCTAGGTTTAGAAAGTGGGCTAGACAGTCACAGACACAGGCATGGGCTGGTCTCTCTGTTGGGGCGTTGCAGAGGTCCAGGCGCAGCTTCTCAAAACCTTCCGGCTAGCCACACACGCAGCCCCTTGGAGCTCCCCCGTTATGCTGCAGCACCAGTGTTCCTGTGCGGGCCCCAAATGCTGTGCCCTGGGCTCTCCGGCAAAGGATGCGATACTTTGGTGGCTAACTCCAAGTGCAGAAACCAGAGATCCACCTCTGCAGGGCTTATATTGACCTAGCCTTCTTAAGAAAGGGCGCTCCTTGTTTTGCTTCCAGGCAAAGGGTCCCTGCAGTGGCAAACGATTCCAGGTGAGAATTCTGACGACCTGAAGCGACCCCTCTGCTGGGAGCTGTAGGGAGCCAGCTCCTGGGGCTGGCAGGGAGACCTCGTGTTTTGGTTAGTTCTAGTTGAAACCTCACAGTCGCAATGGCATAGACTCCACTCTTTAGTGTTCCGTGGGGGAGTCTGTGTGGGCTTCTTATGCGTCTGTGTTAGGTGAGGTGCATGGAGTTCCGGGGAGATGATGGTCTGTGGACACCCAGTGACCGGTATTTCTGCAGTCAGGAATTTAAAAATGAGCAACAGCGGACCCAAGTGCTCCCAATTCCTTATCTGATACCTGGGATCCTTCCTTTCCTTTTAGAAACCCACGTTTCTGCTAACACACCCAGAAAAAAGCCAGTACTGGCTGTATCTAGGAAAAACATCTCTCATAGAGAAAAGACGTGTAGCTGGGGTTGCTCAACTTTCCTGGCGCTTCTTGTATTGTCTTCTCATTGGAATCAGGCTCAGTGCGAGGGTCTCTATCTCTCTCTCTGGTTCCCCGTAGATCAGCGTGAGCCCCCGGGGAAAACCACTTTTAATTCTCCCCTTTTTATTCAGAACAACGAGGGGGAACCGTTCGCTAGCTCCTGCCCCCCCCCCATTCCCATCCATCCGAAATTCAGTCTCACTTGGACTAGCTCTCCATCCTCCCTAGAGCAGGCACGGTCCCAACCTAAAGGCAACCAAGTCTCTCCGGACATACGCTGACAGGATAGTGGCTGACATTTTGTTGCTGGGACGACTGCGGTGCCTTCCTGGCTGATACAACCAAGTAGGGTTTGTTGAGCGTGCTAATGAGTTCTTCAGCCCCATGTAACCCATCAGTGCGTCTTTGACACGGATTCAGGACTGCAGCAACGACCCTCAGTGTGCAGAAATGTCCAGTGGATCCGAACGTCTCGCTTAAAACCAGGTCTACACCTGGATTACCTGAATGCGTGGCTTTTGCGCAAAAGGACAGGCTCCGTGGGAGGCCCCTCCGCGAGAAACACAGTTTCAAATCTGCGGGAGAGCGGAGTTGGGCGAGGGAGGCCCCTAGTCTTCACCTTTATTTGGCATCTCTGAGTCTTGCTCCTTCGGCTCTCAGTGGCCTTCAGAAATCCATGATGGTTTGTGGCGCGCCGGAGTCCACACCGGTTGAGTTTCCCCAGGAGCGAAGTTTCTTTCTTTGATCTCTTTCCCAGGGCTTCATTTTCCCGCCAATCTTGGGTCCCAAAGCGCTAGGCTTTTGGCATTCTGGTGGACGACCCTGGAGCTTAGTGGGATGGAGCGCGCAGCCGGCTCCTGCCAGCTCCGGTCGTTCCTTGGACCTTGGTGAAGCGCAGGGAGGAACACGCCCGAAGCGGCTTCGGTAGCGAGCAGCAGGACTGTTGTCCTTCGGCCTCATTTACAGTGGCCCATATCAGAGCTATAGGATTCCGCTCACACTCCGGCCTGAATGCAGAAATAGCCTGGGTTTTGCAGGGACCTAGTCTCGAGGCTGAAGTAGGGGCCGAAGCCGTTCCTCCGAGCACGGGTTGGAGTTTCAAACCCCATCTGGGAAACACGATCCAGCCTTTAAACCATGGTTTGAGTTGGAATTTGGAATTTGTAAGGCAAATTGCAAATTAGACTCAAACCGAATGATCAAGATGTGTTTTGAGGACTAGAATTCAGTGTTGGCTTTGCAGTCTATTTCTGCCATTTGCTTAAACTGGGTATCTGGGCAACATTGAAGGACAGAATTCACAGAGAATGCTAAGCACGATGCCCACCAGATTTCAGTGAGAACTGACATTATCGTTGTTGCCTTGAAATTGTTACAGCAGTGTCCACATCTGTGGCAGGAATGTGGCGAGTGCTGAATTATTTAGGAACTACTGAGGTGACCAGTCACACACAGCACTGACCTGAATGAAGAGCAAGAGGAATCCCAGCACATAAACTGGGTGTGGTGACGATGCTTGCTCTAATCCCAGCACTGGGGAGGTAGAAGCAGGAGTTGGAACAGCAAATAGCCGGCCCTTCTCCTAAGAAAATGGGAATTACTTTAAACAGGAGCCCTCCCCCCACCTGCTAGTGGACCATCTCCTCTACCTTGCCCTGCTGATGATTTCCTTAGGGGCATCCCTGTTCAGGATGCTAACCTGCATCCTTGGCCTCTACCCATAACTGCCAGTAGATCTGTCTGTCTGTCTGTCTATCATCATCTGTCTATGTATGTATGTCTCACTTCTGACAGTTAAGGAATGCTGCCAGTCTCCTGGAGGACAGGATTCCTCCTTTTCAGACTGAGAACCACTACTATGGATCTGAATTGTCCCTGTTGAAGTCCCAAATGGCCAGGATTGCATAGCCAGTTGTGAGCATTCCTCCTCCTCCCTCTCTCGCAGCTCCTCTGTCTCAGACATGTGGGGTGCTGGACCTGCATTGTGTAGTGTGCAGGGAGAAAGGGGAAAGAAAATGGAGGCTGGGGGTGGGGGGGGTGGGAGAAGCCCAACAAAGGCCTCTCCTCTCATCCTGGGAGCTTCTCAGGGGGAAGACTGGGATGCTAGAAAGAAAGCTGGCTGGCTGGCTGGCAAGTCACCACAGCCCTCCCAGAGCTTACTATGCATATGGTTCAAGGCTTGTAGATGTTTGGGATTCGTGAAGCAAGGACTGACCATATAATGTCCATACTATCTCACAAGGGAACCTTTCAGGAAATTGTCTTGGAAACGGAAAAGAGTCCCAACAAATCTCTCTGTTCTCCCCCTTCTCCTCTCCTCCCTTTCCCTGCCCTCCAGTATGGCTCTTCTTAGAGCACATGCCAATTTTTATTAGCTCTTGACAGTTTTAGTTTAGCTAAAACTAAAGTCTTTTTTGATCAAGGCCCCTCATCTTCTATTTGAAGACAGACACTTTGGAAAACAGGGACCAAAGGGGGCCAGTGATGTTGCTCAGTGACAGGATGCATGCTGGTCATGTGTAAGGCCATGGGTTCCAACCAGAGTCATCAAAAATTCACACACAGCACTAGGGAGGCTATGGCAGGCAGGTCGCTCTCTGAGTTCAGTTCCAGGTCAGCCTGATCTGCAGGGCGAGTTCCAAGACAGCTAGAGCTGCACAGAGAAACCCTGTTTTGAAAAGCCAAAATACATACATACATACATACATTCACATGCACACACCTGTGTGTGTGTGTGTGAGTGTGTGTTAACAGCTCTTGACTTTTTCTGAGAAGGCTCTAGAAGGGCAAAGATGTAGAACAGTCTTGAGGACTGGGGGCATATCAAAAGGGGAGGGATCTGGAATAGCTTCAAGAATCCTGGATCCTAGAGGGTTCTGAATATCACTCTGGCACCAGTCTGTTTCTTGGGGTCATGGCCCCCCCCAGCTCACAAAATCAGTGTATGAGTTTGTTTAATAGACTCTTGCAAAGTCAACTTCATCCACAGACTGAATGAGCAGTTTCAATCAGGGAACACCTCCCAAATCCACTTTTCCCCACTTCTCATGGAATAAGTTCCTAATTTGGTGGTCTCTTGTCCCAGGCCTGAAACATAAACAGAACTCAACCATGCATATGTTTTTATACAATACATGCACGATGAAGCCTACTTTATAAATTAACCAAGAGACTAATCATTAATAATAGAAAATTTATAAAAATATGACAACAAAAGTTATTTTATACCTGTGAATTATTTAATTTTGGAATTTTGTATTTGAATTTTTTTGGCTAATGTTGAACACAGGTTGTTGGGGAAGTCCTGTGTATATGTTAATAAATTACTGCTGGCCAATAGGAATCTAGATAGGTGGGGCTAGGAGTCCAGGAGGATTCTGGGAAGGAGAAACACAAGAGAGTCGAGATGTAACGCCATGAGGTAGGACCCCGGAACTATTCTCCGGTAAGGGACATACTTAGATTAACAATTATGGGGTAATTACTTAAAGCAGAGCTAGCCAGTAAGAAACAAGCAAGGCCAACAGCTTCATAATTAATATAGCCTCCTGTGTGTTTATTTGGGACTGATGCGGATCTGGAACCAGGCGGGCGGGAAGGCTCCTCTCAAGGAAAGCTTCTCTTAACAACAGGTAATTGAGGCCAAACAATATACAACAGTACATAAAGTGTGGCTGGTGAACTAGTGTGTTTGTGCACGTGAGCGAAGCCAAAATGAAGACTTTTTTGTTGTTGGTGGTGGTGGGTTTTTGTTTTTGTTTCTTGAGACCAAGTTTCTCTGTGTAGTCCTGGCTGTCCTGGAACTCACTCTGTAGACCAGGCTGGGCTCAAACTCAGAGATCTGCCTGCCTCTGCCTCCTGAGTGCTGGAACTAAAGCTGAGCAACATAATGCTTGGCACAAAAATGAAAGCTTTTAAAATATAAGAAAAACAATGGAGAGAGGGCCAAGGCCATAGCTTAGTTGCTACAGGGCTTTCTAACTTGCATGGTTTCCATCCTCCTACACATCCCATATACAGCAGGTACCAGGAGTAATCCCAGCGCTGGGGAGGTAGAGGCAGGAAGATCAGAAAGTCAATGTCACCCTTGGCTACATAGTGAGTTTGAGGCCAGCCTGGGCTAACATAAAGCGC